AAAATTCGATTTTTAAATAATTTTTTTTTCAAAAATAAGCGTTTTTTTTTCGGAAAGAAAGTATACAGATAGTATTAGAATGACTAAAAGTATAATTTAAAAACGTTTTTGAAAAATGTGAAAGTGGCCCATTGGCAAATATTAAAAAAATGTAAAAGCTGGTCTAATTTTATGTTAATTTAAATAGGTATTATAGTCCAAGCAATGAAGGAAGTTTACCTCAACATAATTAGAAGTTAACATTTTTTGGGGGGGATCGGTTCATTTTCATGTGCTTAATAACATATTAAGTTTGCGACCTTGTACTTCCATGGGGTTTTCAGTTAGGGGTGGTTTTTAGGGGTAATTTGCAGTTAATGGAGAACGCTGCTCAAAAGGATGGTCCAATAGCAAAAAGTTTCAAATTAATGTTTTAGCTGAAGCTTTTTGCTATAAAAAACTCAGCGACAACACCCCTCTATCTTCTATAGTTTTTTTTCTGCAGCGTCTTGAATAGTAGCATGTTTTTGTTCAAGGTCACTGAATCAACGTTTTGCCATTTTGCGCGCATTTGTTGCAGCAGCGGCCGAATGCATAATCCGATTTCAATTTTTCAAACACCACATTATTTCTAAAGAAATTCACTCTCCAATGCTTTTTTGTTCGAATTTTTTGCTTGAAAATTAAGCGAGCACCGACTTGTCTAATGTGCGAGGAAGTTGTAAATTGCATCGAAAACTACCCCTTTCTTGCATTCACTCTAATTTCTAAACGGGGCCAAATATTTGGTGACAGTTTTCGACAATCGGCAGCCCATTTATTCCTCTCATAATGCCCCAGCGGATTTTTTTTTTCGTTAATCACTTAATGACTTATTGGCCTGAAAACGTCGCGCGGGATTTTTCAAAAAGTAAAAAAAAATTAAAATTGTCGCATAGCGCTGAAACTTGGTACGATGGCTTTATTTATTGTTCTCGTGAATATACTGCAATTTTATATCATGTGAAGCAATTAAAATTGCATTATATTCGTAAGAACAATAAATAAGGCCATCGTACCAAATTTCAGCGCTATGCGACAATTTTTTTTTTTTTTTACTTTTTGAAAAATTCCGCGAGACGTTTTCAGGCCAATAAGTCATTGAATAATTGACGAAAAAAAAAATCCGCTGGGGCATTATGAGAAGAATAAATGGGCTGCCGATTGTCGAAAACTGTCACCAAATATTTGGCCCCGTTTAGAAATTAGAGTGAATGCAAGAAAGGGGTAGTTTTCGATGCAATTTACAACTTCCTCGCACATTAGACAAGTCCGTGCTCGCTTAATTTTCAAGCAAAAAATTCGAACAAAAAAGCATTGGAGAGTGAATTTCATTAGCAATAATGTGGTGTTTGAAAAATTGAAATCGGATTATGCATTCGGCCGCTGCTGCAACAAATGCGCGCAAAATGGCAAAATGTTGATTCAGTGACCTTGAACAAAAACATGCTACTATTCAAGACGCTGCAGAAAAAAAACTATAGAAGATAGAGGGGTGCTGTCGCTGAGTTTTTTATAGCAAAAAGCTTCAGCTACAACATTAATTTGAAACTTTTTGCTATTGGACCATCCTTTTGAGCAGCGTTCTCCATAAACCTCAAATTACCCCTAAAAACCACCCCTAACTGAAAACCCTATGGAAGTACAAGGTCGCAAACTTAATATGTTGTTTAGCACATTAGAATGAACCTATCCCTCCAAAAAAAATTCAACTTCTAATTATGTTGAGGTAACCCCTCTTTTCAGATCTCCGTTTCTTGGACTATTATACAGTGAATAAATTTAAAAGTGGTGAATTGTTTAAATCTAATTGGTCGTTCAATAAACAGTCTAAAGTTTGTTTATTTCTAAAGATTCTAGAATATTTAATTGTATCCCTTTGTTTTCATTATGTAATATTTGAAATTCATTATTAAAATTATGATTTGATTCTATCAGGTGATTAGCATAATTTGAATCTGTTTTCTTTTTATTGAAACTATTGTAATGTTCTTTAATTCTAGTACCAAAATTTCTACCTGTTTGTCCTATACATACTTTTGGACAATCTTTACAAGATAATTTATAAACAGATTTATCACAAATTTTAGTTTTAGATTTATTATTTTTCAAGTGAAAGCCTATTGTATTGTTAGTTTTGAAAGCAACATTTATATCGTTTTTGTTAAGAAATTTGCTAATTTTATTACTAGCTTGTCCTTGGAAAGTAATACTTTTGAAATTATTATTATTTTGTAATTTTTTAGGGTATACTAAATTAATGGCATTTTTGTATAGTTTCTTGTTTAAAATATCATCTATTAATTTGGAAGAATAGCCATAGTATTACTTTCCAAGGACAAGCTAGTAATAAAATTAGCAAACAAAAACGATATAAATGTTGCTTTCAAAACTAACAATACACTAGGCTTTCACTTGAAAAATAATAAATCTAAAACTAAAATTTGTGATAAATCTGGAGTTTATAAATTATCTTGTAAAGATTGTCCAAAAGTATATATAGGACAAACAGGTAGAAATTTTGGTACTAGAATTAAAGAACATTACAATAGTTTCAATAAAAAGAAAACAGATTCAAATTATGCTAATCACCTGATAGAATCAAATCATAATTTTAATAATGAATTTCAAATATTACATAATGAAAACAAAGGGATAAAATTAAATCTTCTAGAATCTTTAGAAATAAACAAACTTAAAACTTTAGACTGTTTATTGAACGACCAATTAGATTTAAACAATTCACCACTTTTAAATTTATTCACTGTATAATACCTATTTAAATTAACATAAAATTAGACCAGCTTTTACCTTTTTTTTATATTTGTCAATTTCACTTTTATGTCTACATTTAATTTTTTTAAATCTTTCTGATGAAGCTAAAGTTTAGCGAAACATGTTAAAAGTTTAACAAAAAATAGTGGAAATATATAAGTATTAAAATTTACTTAAAAAATCTTTTTTCTCCGAATGACAGTAAAAGCGGCCTTTTAATGACACTTGACAGGATCAAAAGTTGTATTTTTACTGTCTAGGCAGTAAAAGTGGACTTTTACTGCCTAGGCATTAAAAGTGACAGTCTCACAACGTTCCAGGTAATAATTCCACTCAAATTGGTATTTGAAATTGATCGTGACAATGACAATTATCAAAATAATTTAATTATTTGGATAATAATAATGAATGAAATAAATATAAAAAAGATGTCCATGTATGAATTTGAACATTCGGAGAAAAAATTATATGTTTTACATGGCAGAAAAGCAGATTTAATGCCTCGGCTGGTTTCCTAGCCTCGGCTATGCCTCGGCTATGAAACACCAGCCGCGGCATTAAATCTTGTACTTTTCTGCCTAGTAAAACAAATAACTATTATTAGATAATGGATTTCCACCAAGTAAAAGCCGATTCAATTAAAAAAAAAGTAATATGATGTCATTGGGTGTATCAAGATTTTAGAAATGTTTACCTTATGCATGATATTGAAAATTTGAAAGAGTGCGCAGTTATGTTTTTCTACATGTCCCCCATAATGTTCGCTACATATGGGGATATTTTTTATTTGTAGGATATGGATTTTTTTCTAATGTCCGATCGATCCTGCATGTCCGATAACCTAAAAGTACATTTTGACATTGGTCACGTGATCACTGTTGTGACGGCAAATGCAAAAATTTAGATATGGAAATGCGAAAAATGAGGTTAGATGGCAGAATTTCAGGAAAAGTTATTTGAAAAAAGTGATTAGATTGATGTTTTAGGGCTGTTTGCGGAATTTGGAGGAGACAAAAAACAGGAAATTACTTGTTTTTTGCCATGGATGTCGTATCGGACAGTTAAGTAAGCTATTTCATAACTGTATTGAAATATTTAAAAAAAAATCTCAATAACGAATCTTTTCAATTGTTTCATCAACATTAAGTTATTGGAAATCTGAGAAACTGTCAAGATACAGGGTATTGCTACAGAAAAGTTTCATGTGCTAGTCGAATATTTTTATTTTTTCCTCTAGGAATCATTCCAATGAAGAATTCAGGTTTGTTTTACCAATACACCTTAAATTTTGAGTTAGGTACTTGGACTATTTCAATAATAAAAATTGTATAATAATATTTGATAAGAGATCCATGGCTAAAAACAAGTAATTTCCTGTTTTTTGTTATTTTTCCTCCAAATTTCGCAAAAAGCCCTAAAACATCGTTCTAATTACTTTTTCCAAATAAATTTTTCGAAATTTTGCCATCTAACCCCACTTCTCGCGTTTCCATATCTAAATATTTGAATTTGCCGCCAGAACAGTGATCAGGTGACCGATGTCAAAATGTAATTTTAGGTTATCGGACATGCAGGATCGATCGCACATAAGAAAAAAAATCCTTATCCTACAAATAAAAAATATCCCTATACTTATGTAGCGAACATTATGGGGGACACTGTATATAAAGGTGCTAAGGCCAAAATTGCTATTATTTTTTACACGCTAGATAGGTAGGTACATGCTTTAGATATTCTTCAGACAAAAATTCTGAATATGTATATCAGCTAACAGTTTTTTCTAAAATATGTGGAAAATTCATATTTTCAAAATCATGTTTATTCACTTAATGTTTAGATACTCTTGTGCACTTTTCATTGATATAAATAAATTATAATATTTATGGATTTTTCGAGGTTTTCATAATTTGAAATATTCAAGCTTTATTTTATAGGTGCCTATTGAAGCGGACAGACATTCCCGTTAGAAAGTCCTGATCCTCGAATATCTTCTTATAATAATTTCAATGGAGATAATTTACTGTAAATAACATAGAGAAACGAGCAAAAAATATCATGCTACACACAAGACAAATGTCGATAAGCCCCCAACGGCATTAGAGAAATAAGTTTGACCCACTTTTATCTTTCCACAGCGTTTTGTGCTGGAGCGTCGCCAAAGCTTTGCATACATAAGTCGTTCGTAAACTCAAACACACGAAACTTACTGTTTGCTTTTTCTCCCAAGTCTTCATAGCCGATTTGTATTTTTCAAATTCGTGGCACCAGTCTGAATAAATCTTCTGATAGTCGTTGCCTTTGGCCGGAGGAGAGCATCTGTGAGCGTCAACGGTGACATTGTAAGAACACAAAAGAGAAGCTCCCATCCAACAATCATATCTGCCCGCATCGGCTTCAGTTACTGAGATTATTACTAAACCTGCAAATAAATTATTATTTCTTTTAAACCAGCTTTAGAGTCTAAGTAACGGGTCTTCAAAACAAAAAAACAATAAAAGATTGCTTTGATTTGAACGTACGTCGGATTATTGTTTCTTTATTGGTCAGGTTTTTTGACATGACATTAAAGTTCATTGACAAAATTAAAGAAAAATATTGTAACAAGACAAAAAGGCTGCACTGCTCAATCCTGCTTAGACGGGATTCGGACAAACAAGTGCAAATTAGCTATTTTCCTAACAAGTGCGCAAAGTGATACTTTCCCACACGAAAAAGCAGTTAGACGAACGACGCGAAGCGGAGTTCGGATAAGCTTTGAGTGCGGGAAAGACACTTTGCGCAAGTGTTAGGAACAATACTTTTTCTACGAGTGTTCGAAGATTTGCATAGCATCCAGAGAGGAGCTGTACCTAATCTTCTTAAATGTTTCCAGATGCTCAAAGCTAGTAATTTTCTCTACTAGTTCAATGTGTTGTGTTTTCAATTTTCTTTTTCAGGGATCACCTTAACTTCATTTGCAACATTGGTGCTAGCGAGGTTAACTTGAAATTTGAACCAGTCGTTAAGTTTGTTTTTTCTGCCAAATTGAGACTTAATTTACCAATATGATATTTTTTCATGTGACTTGTTAAATTAGTTTTACGTAGCCACAAGTACAACATCTTCCCAAAATATATTATCTATTTTTGCTTGCATTATCATAGATCTTGCTTTGCCTATTGGTGTCTGATTCATTGTTTCCGCAGCACCATTAAGTTAGGGAGTATATGAAGGAGTATAAGTTACAGTCCAACTTTTATAATCTGATGGAATGTAAGTTGTTGACTCCCCATACCAACCGTCACCTGACCTCACATATATTTTTATTGCTGGATTTTTTCTTCCCTCGCTCCTTATACGGAAACAGTCAAAATAAAAAAGCTTAACATTACCTGAATGCCTTTCTTGGAACTAAAATAATATCAAGCCCTTCTTTCTGAGTACATAAATGTTTATCCAGAAACCCACAAAACATTGAAAAATCGAGTATAATTGCGGTAACTATGCGTAACAAAAATGAGTGCGCAAAGAGTTCCCGTGCGCAAAGTTCAACTTTGCGCACGCAAATGAGTGCGCAAAGTGATAACTTTGCGCACGCAAGTTGAAAAATATTGTTTTATTATGTATAGGTGTAACTGACTTCTCGGGAGGTTGAAATAAACCTTCACATCTAGTTGGAATAAATTTGTATAATGATTCTCTTACCATGTTCGGAAGTCTCAACATATTTCTCAGGTTTATATTGAATCTTGTAGCGACCTTTTTCCTTTGAGTAGTGGTACCAAGTGATCGCTTGAGATTGCAATACTGCGGGCATTTTTAAAAAGCAACCCAAATGAAGGCTTTGTCCCCATGTTACCATCATCTTCTTCTTTATAACGCTACTGTCGCATACGTCTATCGTACTATTGGAAACATCTTGCAATAATCTGGAATATATTCACATTAGAAGTACACACTTAGAATGGACAGATATTCTTACCCTGGAGAATATGGTTTACAAACATTGGAGTCCTTATCCCATCCACAATAAGGATCGTGCACACACCTAAGGCAATTATCATATCTGCGATTGCACATAACTAAATCAACCTGCTTCACCCTATTATCTGAAGCTACGTATAGTGCTTTGTGTTCTTTGGAGATTTCCATTATTTGAATAGATTCACCAGGAGTAACGTCGAAAATGTCTAGGAGAATTGATGAGGATTCTTCTTGGTGTTCGTTTGTCCATTCGACGATTTTTTGAACTCTGCCATCGTCTAAAACAAACAATAATAGTAAATTAAATTATTATTCTATATAAAAAATGTAAGATACTTACTTGTTCCAGCATAATAAACAGTATAATCAACAACAGCGCCTCCAATATCAACACGCACTTTATCAACAACTAATCTGGTAAAAAATATATCACGTTTGAAGTAAACTGGCTTCTCATATTCGTGCATTATAGCAGAATCCATAAGGGGATGAGATCTTATGAAATTCAGAACATTATCTGGAAGCGATTCCGTATTGTTGACGCATGTACCAGGGCGTGGTTCTGGAACGCGACCGCTCAACACTGGAAGCCACGCTGAAGACGATGTAGCCTAGAATTATTTTTCGTTAATACAATAATTTTGGATATCAATTAAATGTACTAACTTGTTCTTTAAATTTCCCATCAAATGCTGCTTGGATGTCAGCCAAAGTGAAGGAGCAAATAGCCGAACCCATAAGTCCATTAGTAGAAGTGGTAAAGGTGCCATAAAATTTATTGTTGTCTCCAGGGACCCGGTAGATGCTTTCTGTAATAAAAAAATTTGATTTTTTTATAGTCTGGAGGTCACTTCAGAGCCCAACAGCTTCTCATACTTTTCATGTTCTGAACAAAAAACGTTTCACATCCCTAACTTCATTTTAAAGAAAACTTATCTTGATGCTGGGCATTTCAAGAATGCTTTCTAGGGGAAAATGTCCGATATTCTGAGAACATAATGCGCTTTAACAATGCAAATCGGTGCACATATTGTCGCGAAAATAAAGAGAAGTGTTTGCTCATAAAAATTCATTCTTTCCTTTAGAGATCCGACTAAGACATTCTGGAAGCTATTTAGAAGTGTGTATAGAATATTTTAGCTTATCTCAGTAACAATTTTGTGATGAAAAAAACTACTTGCAACGGCATACATGGAGTTATAGATTTCACCGTACAAAAAATACAATTACTACAAAGTACAAAACACACTTACGAATTTCATTAAAATAGAACGGAAATTCTCCAGGAATTGAACAGTTCAATCTGGCCTTAAGGTATGTGACCCAGTTTTGAGTTAAAATGTTTCTACCACCAGTGTCCTTTTTGCAAACTCGTGCCACTCTACTGTAGACGCTTTTGCCACAATTTATATACTCCACGGCTGTTTCCCTGAAGAAGAAGAGGACAAAGTCTCCGATGTCGAAGGAACCCACGAAGTTTGGCTCTGAAAGAAAAATGAATTATTTAAGTATCGTGGACCACACATATATTCGTCGTGAAATTGTAAATTTCATCCCAAAAAGAAGCAACACGTTAACGACTCCAATTATTTTTAAACGGATGGGACTCCTCTAATATGTAGTTAGAAGCAACTTCTTTTTTTTTCCGAAATTCGGGACAACAATCTTCAATAGCCCCATTACGATTCCTTCGAGGATGTGGAAAATATAACAGATTTTGTTGTTATTTTTAATGATTTCTGCATAAATTAATATATGGAATTTCTATGAATCTTAGTTTAAGTGATGGTTCAATTAATAACTAATTTCTTATCTTTTTTTTGGTGGAAAATCTTCTCTATGGACCAATATAATTTAGGGTGACACATTTAACGTACCCCAACTAATTCACCCCACTTTATCATTTAGGGGTCTCACACCAGATTTTCATTTCACCCATCGGTTCTTCTCTCGTCTCTCTCAAATTTAACGTGAAAGTAGTGCAGAAAGAATGTCGTAACCCTCAGCCCTGGCAACTCTTAGAGGGCTTACATGAGTTCATAACGGAAGCGCTAATTCCAAACAGCTGCGGTTTTCTCATGTTTAGTTTGTAATCCTTTTGACGTGTAATAAGGATTTACCTATTACTTATGTTAACCCCGATATACGAAAATACATTTTAGAATTTAAATATTAAATGGGCTCACAATTTTTTGAATACAAACTATTTGTTGATTTTATTTCATGAGGATCGCATAAGAAACCTGGAAAAACTGGCAAAGGCTTGGTGAATACCTATTAATAAGCTTATATGGTTAAATCTATCGAATAAATTTCGAGAAAATGGAATCTTTATAGATATAACACTACATAGACAATTCTAGAAATGTTTTCAAAAAACTAGTTTATTTAGTAAATACGTTCAACTATCAATCTGGCACTGAATTCTTTGACACATTTTATCTCTATCTATAAGATATTTTGGATTGATGGATTCATCAGAATAATCATATTGAAACAATATTTTGCAATATAATTTGTTTCAATTTGTTGAACATGCGATGTAAATGTATATGTACAATGAGGCTCCAGGCTTGGGACTAATCGGCTCATCAGTTTGGTTTTTGAGTCCCATATTTCTCTATGCTTTATTGCGTTTTTGCAATATTTGTGTACGCTGCCAAACGGTTAGTTCAGGATTTATGGATGTTATCTACACGGTACCTATGTATATCATCTTCAAGTTCACATATTTTTTTGCAGTTGTTGTTAATTGTTCAATTTTTGTGTCTGCCAGTTCCGATCTAAACGTTATCTCCTTAATTTTTTTTGAGCGGATAGTTCTGACTAGGTGTGAAATAATGCCTTATCCAATATACAGGGTGTTTTTTAAAACTTACCACCCCTATTATCTCGAAGTTAAACATTTTCGAAGAAATCCCTGAAATACGTCAACTATAATTTGAGGGGGGATGAGTTTTTATGCAAAATTCACCTCCCCCTTTCAACCCCCCACCACCCAGAGCCAGCCCCTAGAAAATCTTGAATGGGAGGGGGGTCAAGTGATAAATCATTTTGGAGGGTTTTTAATGCCATACATTTTGGTACTAAATTTGAATCCCTAAGTTCAACTGTTTTGGAAATATTGACAGTTGAAAATTGACTTTTTTGCAACTTTGACAGGCTGTAAAACCTAAACGGTTAACTCTAGAGGAAAACTGATCTTACATTCTTATCTTAGATTTTCATAAACTATCATTTGACAGCAACTTTGAATTTAATCCACGATCAAAAATTCCGGGTAAAAATTTAATCTCCGGTTAAATTCAAAGTTGGTATCAAATAATAGGTTATGAAAATCTAAGACAAGAATGTAAGATTGGGTTTCCTCGAAAATTAACCGTTCAGGTTTTACAGCCTGTCAAAGTAGCAAAAAAGTCAATTGTCAACTGTCAATATTTCCAAAACAGTTGAACTTAGGGATTAAAATTTAGTACCAAAATGTATACAATTAAAAACCCTCCAAGATGATGTATCACTTGACCCCCCTCCCCATTTAAGATTTTCTAGGGGTGGGTCTGAGAGGTTGAAAGGGGGGAGGTGAATTTTGCATAAAAACTCATCCCCCCTCAAATTATAGTTGACGTGTTTCAGGAATTTTTCGAAAATTTTTCAACTCCGAGATAATAGGGGTGGTAAGTTTTAAAATGAACACCCTGTATATTGTTCGTTATTTAAATATTAAATCACTATTTTCTAGACCGTGGTGCGCTTTTTTTTTTGCTTAGCATTGGATAAAATCTCATACACTATTTCCGATACTTCATGTACTTCAGTATTTGTCCAAGCATACACGTTTATAATTTCTAAGCTCTGTCCAACCAACTTACGGAGTAGAAAAACAACAAATATTCCAAAAGTTTCGTTTCCACTTTACGCTAGAACAGTGATGTTTTGTAAAATTTTGAAATAAATAAATGGCATAAATCAGTACATAAATTCGCAGTTCTGTGGCGAATGCATAGTAGATTGTGTGAGTGCTTTTTATAATTATTGTATAGCATATTTTTTAGTGTACTTTTCATAAAATATTTTTATATATAGGTATTTGTGCAGTGAAACCTGGCCGCTATTTTGACTCTGTAACACTCCATAGGCTCGTTGGACAAAGTATAGTTTACCTGTAGCGTATAATTAGCCAGCTTGATAATAAGTACCTATGCAATAGTGCTTTCTCGAATCTCAATGTCCCATCAGACTTGAGTGTGAAGATAAATTTTTCGAATTTTTTCAGCTACTGTTTACAGTTTGTATATCTGCATGAATTTATTTTCCATTTTTGTACAGCTCGACATTTTTTCAGGAAAAAAAAGCCAGTACAAAATCCCAATAATCGGGTTAAATGAGTTTGCCGTCATGTCCCTCCAACAAAAAGTGCATTTCCATCGAATGGTTGAACAGTAAATTCGTTAAACCCCATCACGATTTCAGTCAAATAAAAAACAAAGTTGAGCTTTTTATAAAATTCAAAATGGATTCGTTGAAAAGCTTTTAAAACTATTGACTCCAATAATTATTTCACCCGTTGATGGTAGAAGGAAATAAAAAGACATTACAAATGCACGAATTGGAAAGTTATTATTTTCGATCTTGTTATGCACCTGATTTCCCAACGTGTGATCAGAAAAATTATAGGTTTGTTCACACAGCAATCACAAACTAGTCGGAGCGAATTTCATTGGTTGAAAACAGTCAGAAAACTAGTTTCAACCTATGAAATTCACTCTGACTGGTTTGTGATTGCTGTGCGAAAAGACCTAATAACGATTGATATCTACGGGATAATAAACAAATTTTACCCAGTTTATTAAAAATCTAGTTTACTTTTTCGTCTAACCATCTCGTCTGGAAACTTTATCCCAGAATAAAAGGACATTCCATATAACTTTAATCTTGTCTAAATCTTCAAAATTACCAAGGTACCTAGTTTGCCAAAAATCCTCTTAATCTACTTGGACTCTGGGATAGAATAGGGATATAGTACATTCACCGAGCATGGGTTGATAACCGTATCTTAAATTAGTTTTCTTTTGAAATTATCTATAAAAAAATACTAATATGGAAAACATCTCTGATGTCTTGAAAGCGGGTTATGTTGATTATACAACTCACTGTACATTATTCCCATATGACACGAGAGGCTTAATAAGTGCTTGGTGGTAACTTGTTAATAATACTAATAAAAATTAATAAAGTATTAAAGTTTAGTTCGTTGTATAACCTTTTGAATACCACTCGATGTTTCAGGATTACCTAATACTTTAACCTGACTGAGGTAAAAGTATTATCCGGTAATCCTGAAACCTCTTGTGGTATTACATTCGATAATGTAGGTAGTGAAGTAATCTTTCAATTTTTCAAAGCATTTGAGTTCATAATTAGTGAGTATTTAATTTTGGTTTCGATATCAGCTATCGAAATAAACAATACATAAAACATGATTATAATTAACTAATCTTTTAATGAAAGCTTTATAGACACTAGGAAATTAGGCAAACTATTATTTATTAGTGATTAAAATACTTATATACCATAATTGGAATAGAATGAAGTACAATAAAAAAAGGTCTTTTACATAACATTTTAAACATTTTCTCAACGAACGATCCAACAAGATTCCTGGGCTATGCAAATCTCCAAACTTATAAAAATGTAAATTGATCTCCAAATAAGCTATTCGAGCCAATTTTATGCAAACTTTAACATTTTTCTTTAAGTATAAAATCCTGTTAAACGGAATTTTAACTCCCTTGTTCACCTACAATTTTATTTCGGAGATTAGGTACAAACGGAGGAATCTATCTATTTTTATGGTGAAAATAATACATTTTTTATTATTACCGTGAAGTTTTTGAGTGGGTGACCACAAATAGTATTTTCGTCATACTGTACTGTTATTTTACTATAACATGAGCGAAATTGAAATCGAAGAGGGATATTTCACGGCCGCTGGCCGTTATTTATCCACCAGCCGGTTGAAATATAAATTTTGGATAATTGAAAAATTGGATAGAAGTTTCTACTAGTAATCATTCATAACGTTTATAACCATAGTCTAGAGCATGTAACAATTCCCTGAATTCCCCACAGGTACAATTAAAAAAATGTGACAAATGTCATAGTTGAAGGTTAGGTAGAAAACTAATAAACGAAAAATGAAACAACATTTTCTTATTTTTTGCTTGTAGGTAAAACGTTTATATTACCTACGCGTGCGCTCAAACATGATTACAAAACTCGTCTGATTAAAACGCTAATCTTTAACACTCGAAAGATTAGACCGAGGAGGTCGTAGACCGAGTTGTTCTATATCACACAAATTTTATAGTCATGTTTAAACGCACGTTAGATGTACAACGTTTTATCTACAAGCAAGAAATAAGAAAATGTTGTTCTAATTTTTGGTTTATTAGTAGGTGTCTACCTTCATTCTACCTTTACACGT